GGGGAGAGAAAGACATGACTGTCAATTTGCACTTTAGAAAATGTGCATTAGGCCTATGTTTTACAAGAACTCCTGAGGACGTGAAATAACCATAATCATAACAACAACAATATCCGGCGGTGGCATCTCTTCGGGGAGGATTCAGGGGGGTTGGACTTCCTCACCCGCTGCCCAAAGGAGGAGGTATAATAATAATAATGACTATAATAGTAAAATGATAAATGAATTACCCTTTTTTTTATCTCCGTGAGGAAACGTTGGTACAATGGCGAACATACATAATATATGTACATGTATATACATATTATATGATTGTGCATATATACGTAAAGACACAAACATACATAAAGCACACTACCAAGTACACCGACTCTCACCAATGTAGACAGATTTACAAACACGTCTCTACCTTTTGTTGTTGTTGTTTTGCTGTTGTTGTTGTTGTTGCTGTTGTTGTTGTTGTTGCTGTTGTTGTTGTTGTTGTTGCTGTTGTTATTGGTGGTGGTGTTGTTGTTGTTGTTGTTACTGTTGTTGTTGTTTTGTTTTGTTTTGTTTTTTAGCAAGGGTTATCGAGTCTTGATCAAGGACACACCCCAGTGACCTCCCATGGAAACCCCGGCGTGTCAACATCACTTGCTTGACGTCATTGGTGAGTCTGGACTCACTAATAACTCGGCCACCTGAGCCCCCATATGACCGACCTATTTATGTTGCACGTGCTGTATAACTCGTAATAAAACTTTTTGAAAACCCCGTTGTTTCTGTCTGTGTGTCTGCCCGTCTTACTTGTTCCTGGCACTAATTGGTCGTTTTGGTGTCGATATATGTGCTTATTTTCTCTCCAGTCGAACAAACATTCAAACAAACAAACAGGCAGACAAACAAACAGGCAGACAAACAAACTGATAAACAAACGAACAAACAAACGCCTAATTGTAAACTATCCCTGACATATCCTCATATTTTGTTTTCCCTCTCCTCCCAGGCTCTGCTTCAATCTCATGACGTGGTGGCCCATGAAGTGTACAGCGAAGAGTCCGCCCACCACCCGTCACCAGGCCCCTCCCACACGTCTTCTGGTCCCGCCCACAACTAC